ACCCAGCTCCCCCCCCAGCCTGCCTGCCTGCCCCCCCGTCTGCTGCCTCTGATACAGAGGCAGCAGCGTGGGGTGGCAGCAGCTCCTGTCCGTGTTGGGTCTGAGCTCCCAGACCCGGTGTGAGCCAGAACTGAGCTGGCCTGCCAGCCTGCCTAGCTCTTAATACTCTTTCAATGCAGAGCCGCAGCGGGGGTAGGTCCCGGGGCCTGGCACAAGCCAGGACTGAGCCAGGCTGCTGGCCAGCCTGCTAAAAAATGTATTGGTGAGGCAAGGGGGAAATGCGTGTAGTCTGTAGCATTACCTGTATGCTTTGGCTTATCTATTCATTGGTTAATTGACTACACTATTACATCCCTAGGGCAGAGTGTGATTTTGATTCGTTGTGTTTATATCCCTATAATCAGCAAAATGATTCAAACACACCAAAATTCTTTCAAGTATAGGCCTTTACAGGCAGGCCTGAATAGCTATATCCTAACAGCGATATTCAGGACTTGCCCATCCTGAGAGCTGGCAAAGCTCCCTGCCTGACTTTATTTCTCTCTGAGAGTATGGATAGCATGTGAACACATAAGAATGGCCATACTGGGTCAGACCAAAGGTCCATCCAGCCCAGTAGCCTGTCTGCCGACAGTGGCCAATATCAGATGCCCTAGAGAGGGAGTGAACAGAACAGATAATCATCAAGTGATCCCTTTCCTGTCACCCATTTCCAGACAGATTTCCAGAGGCTAGGGACACCATTCTTACCAATCTTGGCTCCAGAGGCTAGGGACACAATTCTTACCTATCTTGGCTAATAGCCACTGATGGACCTAACCTCCATGAATCTATCTAGCTCTTTTTTGAGCCCTGTTAAAGTCTAAGTCTTCACTACATCCTCTGGCAAGGAGTTCCACAGGTTGATGGTGCGTTGTGCGAAGAAAACTTCCTTTTGTTTGTTTTAAGCCTGCTGCCTATTCATTTCATTTGGTGACCTATAGTCCTTATAATGTGGGAATAAGTACATAACTTTTTCTTATTCACTTTCTCCACACCACTCATGATTTTATAGACCTCTATCCTATTCCCCCTTAGTCTCCTCTTTTCTAAGCTGGAAAGTCCAAGTCCGTAATCTCTCCTCATGCGAGACCCATTCCAAACCCCTCGCCATTTTTGTTGCCCTTCTCTGAACTTTTACAAAATTGTGTATGTCAGTGTCCCTTAACTATTGTGCTGTGTTTCCTCTCTCTGCGGTTCCTTTTCCTTTCACTCTTCCTATCTGGATTCTCTCTGTCTCAGCAGGTGATGAGCTGACGAGTGAGAATGAAGGGAATACACAGCTGGAAGTTCCTGAACTAGTGGAACCTCAGGAAACTTTCTCGGAGAGAGCCGAAGGGGCTACTTCTCAGAGCAATGAGCAGGAAGAAGCCTGGGAGAGTTGGAGTATGTCTGAAGGGCAGCAGGGAATCCAGGCAAGGAAGAAAGCGGATAGATCAGTTTTGTGGCAAGGAGGGGTCAAGGATTTGAAGAAAACCGCAGCCCAGCAGAGAATCCACCTGGGGGAGGGAAGAAACACCTGCTTTGCCTGTGGGAAAAGCTTCAGTCGGCACTCAAACTTTATTTCTCACCAGCGGATTCACACGGGAGAGAGACCCTATACCTGCGCGGAGTGTGGGAAAAGTTTCATTCAGAGCACACAGCTGATTAGACACCAGAGAGTGCACACAGGAGAGAAGCCCTACAAATGCCTCGAATGTGGGAAAGGCTTCAATCAGAATGCACACCTCACCAGACACGAGAGGCTGCACGTGGGCGAGAAATTGTATAAATGCCCCAAGTGCGGGAAAAGCTTCCATCGGAGTTCAGATCTTACCTCCCATCAGAGAATCCACACTGGGCAGACTCCCTACCAGTGCCTGGAGTGTGGGAAAAGTTTTGACTGGAGCTCCCGACTTATTGCGCATCAGAGAATCCACACTGGAGAGAGACCTTATAAGTGCCCGGATTGTGGGAAATGTTTCATTCACAGCTCGGATCTTCTTGCCCATCAGAGAATACACACTGGGGATCGACCCTATACATGCCCCGATTGTGGGAAAAGCTTCAACCACAGCTCCGATCTGCTTTCCCACCAGAGAAACCACACGGGAGAAAAACCCTACCAGTGCCCGGACTGTGGGAAAAGTTTTAATCGGAACGCTCACCTGGTTCGACACCGGAGACGACACACGGGAGAGGAAGCTTATAAATGCGCCAGCTGTGGGCAAAGCTTCCGTCAGATCTCAGATCTGATTTCTCATCAGAGGAGCCACGCGAGCGAGAAACCCTACGAATGCCGCGACTGCGGGGAAAGGTTAAGTGACCGGTCGGCCTTCAACAGGCACCGCCGGACCCACACGGGGGAGAAACCCCATAAATGCCTCGCCTGCGGGAAAAGTTTTGATTGGAGCTCGAACCTCGTTGTGCATCAGAGAGTTCACACGGGAGAGAAGCCCTATAAATGCCCTGAGTGCGGGAAGAGCTTTAATCGGAACTCGCACCTCATTCGGCATCAGAGACGCCATGCGGGAGAGACGCTTTGAATGGATCCTCTCTGCGCTCAGAACGTGCCGCTGTGGGAACTGGTTTCCACTGCGCTCCGTCGGGGGCAGCCTGGGAGTCCCACCAGAGCCCGAACGGCATCAGCTTCCCAGGCTTGTCTAGACCTGGAAGAGGGCTGTAGGGGTTCGCTCACACCACCCGGATTCTAAGCAAACCTCCCCCACGGTTCCTAGGGTGGGCTGAGTCTGAGTGTCTCACGTTTATGGTTCCCTCAGCGAGTTTACAGCGAGTTCCCCCTTTAAAGGCTGATTGTCTTGGGTCCAGATATTCTGCAAATGTTTCTTGTATAGACCCTGACTCCGTAGGTGCTCGGGGGCTGGAACACCCATGGGGG